TGTTTACTGTTCGGCCGCTTGGGGTCAGCTGCTCTAGGAGCGGTGCCTGGAAGCGCCACCAGGTGGCATCTCCGCTCGGTACCACAGGGGGAGGGGAGCGGAAGGAGGACTGTCCGAGGAGACAGCCTGCCGCTAAAAGCAGAGTGCGTGGGTCCGAGGGATGGAGATAGCAGAACCTGGGGTGCCAGGTACCCAGACCTGCGAGGGAAGGGTGACAGAGGCTGGGGAAGATAGAGTGTAACTGGGAAATGGACACCAAGCTCCTGATAGAGAATGGTTCGCACCCTTTCATGTCTAAATGACTCCTCTCCTCTCCTATGGCAGAAGTTTGAAAAGAAATTTCAGTCTGAGAAAGCAGCAGGCTCCGTGTCCAAGAGCACGCAGTTTGAGTATGCCTGGTGCCTGGTGCGAAGCAAGTACAACGATGACATCCGTAAAGGCATTGCACTGCTGGAGGGTGAGGTGCCAGGCTGCCCCACTCTCTCCTTCCCAACTGCCATTGGGGTCTGTCCTCTGCTGCCATTGGCCTCAGTCACTCCCTCCATCTCAAGTGCTGGGATCCTTTTTCAACAGTGGACCCTATAGTACAGTCACCTCACAGTTATTCTCCAGTAACTCACTGCGCTAAAGGGCTGTACTTAGCCTCACTTCTCCCAGCGTCCTTTTGGCTCATTACCACGTCATCATTGTTTTGCCAAAAAGTCAGAGCATGTCAGTCCCCACAGGACTTTGGTGATCTGGTCGTCCTAACCATAAGGAAAGTGGCTTTTCTGAGGTCACACAGCTAGCTGATTAATGACTGAATTGGGACTGGAAGCTCTTCTCTTGTGTGTCTCGGTCCCATGCTCTCTGTCCCCCACTATGGTGCTTATTCAGCAGCTGTTTTTGAGAAGCTTTTGTGCAGGTGGCGTGGAAGACGTGCAGAAGATGGTCCCCCAAACCTGTGAGCAGATACTGCCTTTTTTGATTGGAATCCTATTTCCCGTTGGTTTGGGGTGGGTCACCATTTATCAGAGGCCACAATACTTGACCTTTAAATTTCTCTGTACCCCCATTCTCTCCGTCAGGTAATCATGTGTAAGCAATCAGTGTACTAGCAAAGGACGCCTATTGTAAATCTATAAGACTTAGACTCTTTCTTAATGCAAATAATCTCACCCTATTTGTTTATCTTGCCAATTCAGATTTTTCAGGTTTCCTCTACAGCAGGACACAGCTGTAGAAGAAGTGGTCTCTAAGCGTGGCCAGTCTAGTTGAGGAGACAGTACAGACACTTGGGAAGATTTATAAACACCTGCCAAACCACTTAGCATCAGTTTCTAGTGCATAGGGTACAACTGAGCACATAAGCCTCTGGGGAGTTACTGAATTAAGAGAGTCAGGTGGGGTCATTCAGGGAAGTCTAACTGAAGGTGAGTTTTGAGCTGATTTTTTAACAGGGAGGGAGTGCAAACTTATTTTCAACACTAATCTGGGCAGCAAGCAACTGTAGTGAAAACACACAGCAGATGCCACAACTGAGGAGAGATAGCTTTTGGCTTCTGCAGTGCCTTGATTTGCTTTCAGTTCACTTGGATGAACCAGAGTTGACTGTAGTATTGATACCGGGGTGTTGATCACCAGGGTGTCTGGGCAGCCTGGGCTCACGCTGCCCCAGAGCTCTGACTGGGAAGCCAAGAGTGACCAGAGCTGAAAGGGAGGCTCAGGACAGGGACTTTCTCCTGGGACTCTGTAAGGATTCAGAAAGTGGATGGGGTCTCGAGGACACAAATACTAGAAAGGGGAGAAGCGTTTTCACGTTCTTCCCTCCTCCCCAGAGCTGCTGCCCAAAGGGAGCAAAGAGGAGCAGCGAGATTATGTCTTCTACCTGGCTGTGGGGAACTACCGGCTTAAGGTGAGCAGAGCTCCCTCCTTCCTGTTCCACCCTACTTGGCTGGGCCACAGGACCTTCTCACTTCTCTCCTCCAGGGTAGAGCCCTGGCCATCACGAAGGCTGAAGAGGGCAGTAGCGGGGGTGGAGTGGGGTGGGGGTGTTGGGTACAGAGGTGAGGGGTGATAGCAGGTCAGGACACTGGGGGAAGGTGAGGGATGGGATCAGGGCGCCGAGGGTGTGGGGAGCAAGGTGACGTCAGGATTGAGGTGCAGCCCCAAGCCTTGGGTTGTTATCTCCCCCAGCTTATCACCCCCACACAGTTGGGGTTGTTTGTGGACTCTACTCCATTGGGTGGGGCTGGAGTGAGGGAGGGGTGGAGGGAGGGGCCCTGGGCAAGTGAAGGGAAGGCCCCTCCATGGGCAGGAGCAGTGATGGGGTACTGAGGAGGGGTGTGTCTTCCCCGAGTGTAGGAATATGAAAAGGCCCTAAAGTATGTGCGAGGGCTGCTGCAGACAGAGCCCCAGAACAACCAGGCCAAGGAACTGGAACGGCTCATTGATAAGGCCATGAAGAAAGGTGAATGCCTTCATCTCTGCCCTTCTCCCTCCATTCCCCAGCCTCCTGTTTCCCCAGCCCCCATCATCCCCAGGTCCCTCTCACTCTTTGTTAAGCCCTCTTCCTTCCCCCATGCCTGGTCCCTCCGGTCTCTCTTTAAATGACCCGCCTCCAAGAAGTTCCTCCTCAAAGCCCCAGAAGCCCTCTCTCCAACCCTTGGAGTCCCTCACCCTGTGACTCCAGGAGGAGAGGCACACTTTCTGTTGATGAGCAGCGGGCAGGGAGAAGATGGTGGCCAGGGTCCCTACGAGGGTGGGGCTGGGCTCCTGACAGTCTCGCTTTTCCTTTCCCCAGATGGACTAGTGGGCATGGCCATTGTTGGAGGCATGGCCCTGGGTGTAGCGGGACTGGCTGGACTCATCGGATTTGCTGTGTCCAAGTCCAAATCCTGAATGGGACTGCACCTCTGCCTCTGCCCAGGGATCCGTGGGAGCCCGTGGAGGACACTTGAAGAGGGGCCCATCCATTCTCACTGTCCCTTTCTTCTCCTGCACCCGTCGCTGTCCTCTGTGGCCTTCAACCTCCTCTCGCCTGAGACCTGTCCTTTAGCCCCAAATCATGTGCTTTGGGATGAGTGTAAATAAAGTTGGGCCTTGGCTTGGGAACTGTGTCCTTGTTGAGGAAGGAGTGGGTTCCCTTGGGCCCGGAGGTGGGGGTCACATGTGGTCCTTTCCTGCTCTCCTGCCCCTACCCTCCAGGCTGGTGTGGGGTTCTTTGTCCACCAAACTGCCCAGGCCCCACACCCTTCCTTCCTCCCTTCCCCAAAGCCACATCCTTGAGCAGTGGTAGGCAGCACGGGGACATGGCCTTTGCATGGCCCCAGAATCCTGGGAGGAAGCAGTGACTGGAGGTGGGTAGGGCAGAGCTGAGGGGATAGGCTGGGATTTATGTCTCCCGTCTCCTCTGACCCACTCAGCTGCCTCTTAGTGCATGGAGTTTTCCACACCAGGGGGCCCCCCACTCAGTTTCCTCCAAAACCCCCACCCTTCCCTCTATTTGTCTTCCTGCGTCCTCCTCCTCCTTCCCTATTTGTCTCCTTAGGGGAGGGGGCCGCTGGTGGGGGGAAGGAAACGGAGTAGCGGGGGTCTTGGGAGAGGTGAGAAACTCAGGACGCCCGGGCTGTAGACGGAAGGTCAGGGCCCAGTCGACACCTGGCCTGCTTTGCCCCACACCTGCCTGTTCCAGGCTCGGTGTGGGCCTGTCTTGCTTCACTGCATACCTCTCGTTCCACAGCCAAGCCAGCCCAGCTGGTGCGGGGTTTGGGGGGAGGAGTCTGACAAGGGGAAGGGGGGCATGGGGGTTACACTTCACCAGCTCAGTGATGTCCTGTGTGACTGCCTGGGTGTAGGATCAGCCCCTCAGAGACAGCCCCAGCCACACTTGCCAGAAGAGAACCAGAGCAATCCCGGCTGTGGCCTTGGGGTGGGAAATGAGACCGTCTACACCAGGACAGGTGCTCGGCCTTGGCTTGGGGTGGGAACCCAGAAGTTTCTAATCTGTCAGAATTAATAAAGCTGGTGACAGTTCTGATAATCCTAAGCTGCTTGAATTAGCCACAGGATCACATTCTTGGCCTGTGATTTATCCCCCTTGGGGCCCCTTGGCAGCAGGTTCAAGCTCATTGCTTGATCAAAGATCAATTGCTTGATCAAAGAGTCAAAGATCAACCCTGCAAGGGGGGAAATTCAAGTTCAGGAAGTTGAAGTTGAGAGGTAAGCAGCCCCTGGAGGCCTCACCCTGGGCCTGTAGCACCCAAGCCCAGGCCGCTCACCGAAGAGCGAGCAGCTGACCTGCGGGGCGCTTTGATCTCTGGTCACGGTTATTACAACCTAGGAGGTGAGGAAGTTCACAGAAGCAGAAGCGAGCTCCAGCTGCACGCCCGCGGCACTCTGGAAAATGACAGGGCCTGCTGGAGTCCAGGTTGGTTGGACTGCAGAGCCGTGGGTTTCTCCCAGAGACCCCATTCCCTTACTCAACTTAATCCTCCTGGAGACTCAAACGCCCCAACCCCTAGGTCTGTGAGTCTCTTGAATTCTCACCAACATCCAGAGCAGGGTCTCTGGTCCCTGGATCCTTCCCCCACCAAAGGCTGCAGTGGTCATTCCCTGTCTCTCCCTGACTCTTGTCTCTCAGCCACCTTCTCTCTCCTTGTCCCTCTTATTCCATTCTCTGGCTCCTGATGAAAGCTGAGTCAGAGACAGACGCTTCCCCTTGACTCCCAGTGCCTCCCATGGGGGCCCCTCCTTGGCTGCATCCGTTAGTCACTCCCCCCACCCTTGTGGGGCGGGAGCCCAGGGCAGCCTGGAGGCTGGGGGGAGGGGGTGGACTTTTGGCCCATTCCGTTTATTCCCTCCATCGCCTCGTCAACAGCTGCCGTGCACTCTTGGCTCATTCCTCTGACCGACCTGCGGGGAAGCGGCGAGACCCAGAGGGAAGGAGACAGAAACTGGGAGACAGACCTCCTGTGGGGAAGCGGAGAGACCCAGAGGGAAGGAGACAGAAACCGGGAGGCAGACCAGAGCCGAGGCTGAAGGAGAGGCTGCAGGTGGCCTTCTGCCCTCCCCCTCCCTCATTCTCCCCCGCCTGCCTTAACAGCCCTCCTTAGCCAAAGCCCCTTCACGTTCCTCCTGGGCTCAGCCCCTTCCTCTCTCTGGGGCCCCAGGCGCCCCTCGGGGCCTGCGTCCCACCATGTCGGTGGCTGTGGAGATCTTCGGCTTCTTCATGGCAGCCCTGGGGCTGCTGATGCTGGGGGTGACCCTGCCGAACAGCTACTGGCGAGTGTCCACCGTCCACGGGAACGTCATCACCACCAACACCATCTTTGAGAACCTCTGGTATAGCTGTGCCACCGACTCCCTGGGAGTCTACAACTGCTGGGAATTCCCGTCCATGCTGGCCCTCTCTGGTAGGGCCGGGGAGAGCCGTGGGAGGAGAGGGAAGCGGGAGGTGGGAGGGAGCCCCGAGGAGGGTGGGTGCTGCCTGTGGTCGGTCTGGGGCACCGTGTGGATGAGGGAGGCCTCAGCAAGCTCGGAGACCTGGGCTCCTGCAGCCGGGAGTGCTGGGGGCAGCCCCCCCGGACTCGAACTGCTCAGGAGACCTTGTCACACGTGGCCCCCTGCCCTAATGTGACACTGTGCCTCCATGGTTACAAGTGCAGGTACCGGGGTCAGACTGCTGGTACAATGCCTGCCGTTTACTAGCTCTGTGTCTCGGGCAGGTGATAAAAGATCTTCCTCTGTCCCGTTTGTAAAATATGCGTCATAATAGCACCGGTCAGAGGGTGGTCGTGAGGAGTATGTGAGATAAACCTGCAGAACGTTACATGATGTTAGCGTCTCTGTGCGCTCAGCCCCTCTGAGCACTTCAGTTCTGGGGTGGCTTGCTGGGAGTGTGGGCTGAAGAGGAGGCCGCATCTCGGATTCTTGGGGGTTGAGACACTTGCAGCTCTAGCAGGCTCCCCAGGCCTCCCCTGGGCATTGGCCTCGCTCTCACGGCGAGCTCTAAAGGGCTGTTTTAAAGGAAGTCTTGCCGTAGGTCTCAGCGTCTACTGTAAGCAGGTGGGGGCGAGGTTCAGGGTGCTCGGGGCAGTGTATTTTTTTGAGGTTCCTGGTGGGCTGGAGCCTACAGCTCTTTTGGCCCAGAAAGGCTCTCCCTGGTGGCTGTTGCATCTTCCTGCTTCCTGCTCATCCTGTGAGTGTCGCCCCCCATCATCCCCCAGGGGAGTCTCCCTTCAGTGTGCCCTAGGCCCAGCTAAGAGGGGATGACCAGGAAGCCCATACGCCATGGCTCCCAAGCCCTCACTGGGTGCTCCCAGAGCCATCGTGCTCTTCCAGGCCCCTCTGGCAGGTGCCACGCAGTGGGGGAAGGAACTGAGACCGACACTCCACAAAATTGCTTAAGATGCTCTAAGCAATTAGGGGGTCTGAGGCAGCTGCAGGGGCTTCATGCTTTCACTCTTCTCTCCAGGACTACTGTTAGCAATGCAGGTGCCCCCCCAAAAACCCCTATAGAAGCTGAGTACGGTCTGGGCCAGAAGCTGAGAAGGCTGGGTGGCCAGAAGGGACATTGGAGGCAGCCAGCTCAGCAACCCTGGCTATCTCCACCTCACTTACCCCTCAACCACACCAGGGGGTGAGGAGGCGCCTCTGCTGTGAGCCTGTTCACTCGAGAGGCCACCCCCCCCCGGAACTGCTGCACTGGCCTGAGAGAGGACATGAGCACGCATGGAAGACGGGGAGGCAAGAGCGTGCTTGAGCAGGAAGGGCAGAGAGGGCAGCTGCCCAGCACTGAGGGTCATCTGGGGTCCAGGCGTTCTGCTGGGCACTCCACACACCCCATTTCAGTGCTGTTTACAACAGCCCTGCTGTCGAGGGTGTTAGGAACCTCATCTTACAGAAGCTGGAAAACTGCAGGGTCAGCTTGACCTGCCCGAGCCACAAAGATGGTGGGGGCTGGAGTCCAGACGTGCGTGTCTCAGTCCAGGGCCAGCGGGTCTTCCAAGGCGGATTTTGGGCCTAAGAGGGGTCCTGACTGGCATTGATTCGCTCCCACGGTTCAGCGCATGCGCTTAATAATCGCCCTTTGTCTACCAGAGCTACCTGGGGATTCAGGGCTGGTCTGCCCAGGTGGAGGGGGGTCGACGGATGGGTGGGAAAGGATATGGGGCCAGGGGGAGAGGCGGGAAATGTGGAGGGAGTGGCTGGGAGTGAGAAAGGCTCCCAGAGAACTTTGTTCCTCCTCCTATCTACCCCTCAACTCTGCACCACTTCACATCCTCCTGGCAGGGACCCAGCCTTTCCCCTTCAGCACCAGTGGCACTGCCCCACCCGGGGAAGGGGTGCAAGGTCCTTGGAAGCGCTTGGCAACTATCAAGAGAAGGGGGAAGGGAGCCAGCTATTTATTTCCTTAAGCTTTGAGAAAGGGGAAACTGAGGCACTGAAAGCATATGAGCTAGACTGACTTGGATTGGTCCTGGGCCCAGGTATCCCACCTCCCAGATCAGAAAGTGCCCTCGACCTAGTGACCCATAGGCCACTGCTGCCCCCTGTTGGCCACTCCAGGAGGAAGCGCAGTTCAGGATGTCCAGCACTCTGCTAGGCACTGGGTGGGAACTGGAAAGGAGGCAGGTGTGGGGAAGGGGCTGGAGGAGCTCAGGGGCATTCTCCGTGACACACGGCAGAGCACGGTGGGTCATCTAACAGAGCGGTGGTTCTCGCACAGGGGCGATTTTGCCCCGCGTGGTCATTTGACAATGTCTATAGACATTTTGATTGTCCCGCTTAGGGGGATTGCTACTGATTCTAGCCAAGGATGCTGCTAAACATCCTACAGTGCAGAGGACAACCCCCCAGAACAAAGCATTATGCAGCCAAAGTGTCAGTAGTGCTAAGCAGAAGCCCTGTAACGGAGGTGGAGGTAGAGGTGAAGTGCGCAGGTTCAGCAGGGCGGGGCCGGAGGAGCTGAGACTCTTTGAGAGTGAGGTGAGCTTCTGGGCAGGAGGGGCGTGGATGGAGGCTGGATGGAGCCCCAAGGGGAAGGAGAGGACTTGAGGGCTTTTAGGGACTGAGACCTGGCAAGGGCTGGAAGGGGCTGGCTCTGTTGTAGAGGGGGAGGGGAGACGGAGGGGGAAGGGCTGGACCAGGGACCAATGGCTGCACCCCACCTCCCCAGGGTACATCCAGGCCTGCCGGGCGCTCATGATCACTGCCATCCTCCTGGGCTTCCTTGGCCTCTTCCTAGGCATGCTGGGGCTGCGCTGCACAAACATTGGTGGCATAGAGCTCTCCAGGAAGGCCAAGCTGGCGGCCACCGCAGGGGCCCTACACATACTGGCTGGTAATTGGGGGAAGGTGATGGGTGGGCCCTGCGTTGTGGTGGGGGGGTTGGGGGTGGCCCCCGGCAGCAGACCCCAGGGCTCTCTGTCATCTCCAGCTCCCCACTCCTGGCATTTGCCTAACCTGCCCCTTTGCATTGACACCTGCCCTCCCATGCTCAGCTCTTCCCTCTCTCCCTGCTCTCCCCAGCTGCACCCACATTCACCAAATCCCTTGGCTACAAATCAGTCCGTTAGCAATGTTTCTTGAGCCCCCACTAGGAGCCAGGCATGAGCGAGGTGTGGGAGGGACTCCAAAGAGTGAGAGTGAATGTCTCCAGAGCTTACAGCCTGGCTGGGAAGACCAGAGCCAGGATGTGCGGGCACACACAGACACACACACATACTGCGCACAATAACAATACTATGTGACTTGCAATCTCTTTTCATTTTGCAAAAACATTTCTGCACACATCACCTCACATCAATCCTGTGAGGTAGGGTGGTCTTATCCTGTTCTCCGGATATGGAAACAGGCTCAGAAAGGTCAGGTGGCTTACTGGAGGACAAGCCCCCAGGGAGTGGCGAGGCTGGTCCTGCAGTCCGGAAGTCTGGCTGGCTTCAGGCCTTCATGCACTGAGTGGCAAAGGCGTGCCACAGGCTCTGAGGGCTTTGGGAGGCTGAAGGAAAGGAGCACCAGGGCAGGCAGGGCCGGTCTGGGAAGACTGCTTAGGCTTTCGAGGATGGGTAGGACTTCGATGGGGTGGATTTTAAGTTATCAAGGCGCTAGAGGTAGGAATGAACAAGGCAGGTCTGGGACAAAGGGGGGCAAGGAGGGCTGAGGAGCAGAGTGTGGGAGATAGACAGGAAGGGTGGGCTGCAGCTGGGTCCTGGGTGCTGGACTGACGAGCTTTCAGTGGACCCTAGGAAACAGAAGGGTCATGAGCTGGGGAGGGGCAAAGAAAGGAATGGAAGGAAACTCGCTCTGGGCCTTGATGCCTAGGGCGCCGGTACGGGCCTCCTCTCCCTCCCCCAGGTGTCTGTGGGATGGTGGCCATCTCCTGGTACGCCTTCAACATCACCCAGGACTTCTTCAACCCCTCCTATCAAGGAACCAAGTGAGTATGGGAGACCCACCCTCGAGGGCAGTGGGTGGGACTCGGCCCCATCCCCCGAGCTAGCGACGTCCCCTGGCCGTCTTGTTCCCCAGGTACGAGCTGGGCCCCGCCCTCTACCTGGGCTGGAGCGCCTCCCTGCTCGCCATCCTGGGCGGCGCCTGCCTCTGCGCCCACTGCTGCTGCGCCCCCAAAGAGGACCCCGCCGCCAGGTAAGGGGGGGCGAGGGGCGGGGGCGGGGGGTGGGCGAGGGCCGCACCTCCCACTGACCAGGCCTCCCCGCCAGGGCCCGGCTTCCCTACAAGGCCTCCGCGCTGCGGTCCGCCAGCCTCTCCGCCCGCCTGTCCCCCGCGGCCGCGGATGAAGACGACAGCAGCTTTGGCAAATACGGCAAAAACGCTTACGTGTAGGAGGCCTGGCGTGTGGACCCCATTCCCTTCCCACTGCCCGCAGCGGAGAGAGGTCTCCGGAGCCCCGGGCTGCAGGCGCGGGCCCACGCCCCTTGGCACAACCTCAGGGGCAAACCACGCCCCAGGCCCCGCCCCGTGCCCGGAAGCCACGCCCAACTGACCGCACCTCAGGCCCAGTCTTGGGTCGATGCTCCGCCCGGGACACGCCGCCTTCGTCTGGCCAAGAACCCGCCTCCTGAGAACTCACCTCGGAGTCCTAAGGTCGGACCCGTCTTTATCTTCTGAGCCTGGGATCTGGGTGGTTAAGGGGCAGAGCTGTCCCCGCGTGTTTGTAATCTATATAAATACATACATAAATAAATTTGTATTGTGAACTGTCCAGGGGTTGAGGGTGTCATGAAGGGGCTGGCCAAGCAAGGGTGGCTGGGGCAGCACCCAAGGCCATCTCAGGTCTTGGACTCCAGACTGTCACATGTCACTCTCTCCACTGCCTTTGAACTGTCTCATTCAGCAAGAGAGGAGGGGTGGCAAGTGATTTCTGTTATAATTACTGTGTGGCTCTGTTATAATTACTGATAAGAGTCATCAAGGACCAGATACAGGAAGACCAAGCTCTGGGAAACTAAAAATAGCAGATACTCCCCGGCCAGCCTGAGACAAGTCACTCCTCTACGGCTGGCCTCTCTCGCCGCTGTACAAGGAGACAGTTGGTCTGGAGCAGAGTGTCTTTACCTGGGCCTGAGAGCGGACATTTGAAATTGATGAGCCCTTTGAAGCTGTGCATCAAATCAGCCGGGTCTGGTGCAGGTACATTTTTCTGGGGAAGGTTCAATAGCTTCCAGAAAAGGCTCTGAAGGTCTATTCACAGAGGCTGTCATATCAGTGGGGTGTGTGTGACTTGATGGTGTTCAGCTCAGACATGGCGCTGGGTCATGGGCAGGCTTGGCAAGGCCTGGTGGGTACTGAGCAGAGCTGGTACCCACGAGAGACAGGAAAATGAGGCCACGAGAAAGAAGCCTGATGTCCAGTGGGAGGAGGGGACAGGGCCCTATCCTGGTCCCTGTCTGCTGCAGGGCCAACCATGGTGACCAGCTACTTGGGGGCAGCTGGGTTCTGACCTCAGTCTCCTCCTCTTTCTCTTTCATGCCATCCGCCCACCAGCACTGACTCTGCCCTGGGGTGCAGAGACTCCCACATCTGCTTCTTAACTGGGCCCAAGCTTCAGAAGTACATGTACCCCCTTGGTGTGTTTTCACCGGGCTGGACAAATTCATCAAATTCATCCCTTTGCCTCCAAAGCCACAGTTCCTGTCATTCTTGTTACCAGCATTGCCAACCTCTCAGTCGCAGATTGACAACCTCAGTCATCTCTGGCTTCTCCCTTCATTTCCCTCCACCGTCTCCTCCCTCAGCTGCCAAATCCTACTGACTCTCCCTCCACGGTGTTCTTCACATCCACCTACACCTCTCCCTTCTCCCCTGCCTGGTTCTGGGTCAGGCCCTCATCCTCTCTTACCTCGGATTCGTCAGGATTACCCTAATTGAGCTTGTCACTCCATCTTTCTAGTCCATTCCATGTCCTTCTACTGGAGCACCATTCACTGTCCCACCCTGGCAGCTCTGTGGTGCCTCAGAAAAAAAGCCCAAGATAATTGAGACCTTGACACACTGCCTGGCCCTAGACCACCTCCCTACCCCCATTTCTTATCCCTCCTCTGTACAACTGTGCTCTCCCAGCAAACCGCATTGCTCACCAGCCTTGGACACACATGTCAGGGCTTCCTACTGGGCTCCACCCAGAAACACTTGTGCTTTCTGAGCTGTTCTCTACATAAAGGGTTCCATGGCCAAGTTCTGCGAAAATCTCTATATCCTACCCCGCCCCCATGCTCTGCTTTTGTAGTTTGTGGATGTCCCATGGCCAAGTCCAAAGTCCACATGGAAGGGACTGCACAAGAGCGTGGACACTGGGAGGCGCGTCCCACGGGGGGCCCTTGGTGTAACGATCTCCCGCAAGTACTGGGCCTGGGACTCGCATGGTTAGCACACCGATGGTGGTTTCTCTCTCCAAGATGAGACACACTCCTTAAAATGTGTCTTACAATTCTGAAAGGCGTGAAAGCTCCACAGGGATGCCTGTGCCCCCAACAGTGAAGGACGAAGGTCAAATACAACTCCTGACGCCCCCCCAGGCATCTCCAACCAACCTGTCCCTCTGCCCACCCCCAGCTCTCGTCCTTTCCAGCCTGCCTCTTCTCACCCCGTCCCCCTTTGAGGAAAACTAACCTGAGCCAGGTTTCACATTTGAGCAGTTAGGTATGTGCCTTAATATGGTCACCGGGTACGTTCCGATTTCTTTGTCTGTCATGCATGGTCACGTGGCCATAAATGGCTATCAACATACTTACCCCTTTTAACAACACTTATTTGCTTCTTTGCTAGAAGCTAGAACACCAAGACATGCCCCCTGCCCTCAAGGAACCCACAAGCTAGGGGCAAACAGGAATGTAAACAGCTGGTCACCACACAGGGGCAAGGTGCTGGGAGGTCTCCTCCGGTCTTTGAGGGAACTGGCTGTGAGAAAGCTCCACGATCAACTGCTTTAGGTCTTGGGCAATGATGTCAACAGCTGTCATTCATTGAAGATTTACCAGATGCCAGGCCTCAAACTGGGTGAGGTGCAGTTTCATTTAGTCCTCACAATACCTGGGACAGAGTCAGAGAGGGAAAGTGACCTGTCCCTGCTGCATACTTTCTAAGTAGTGGGACCAGGATTTGTCTAAGACTGAAGACACCTGCTTTCCAGAATTCCTGGCTCTGCAAACAGATTCACTTCTATTAAATTCAATGCTCATTGAGGTCTTCAGGTGGGAGCCCCTACTCTCTAGCCTTCTAGGTCCTGGCATGAACCTCTTCTGCCCCCTGTGTACCCAGGAAGGGGCTGTGCTGCTCCCTCACATGACACTGGGTCTAGCCTCTGGAAGTTTTTGGCACATGTAGGTTTCCCAAAGACCTGAGTGTCTCCCAAGGTGTGGACCAAGTCTCCACTAGTACACGGGAAGCTGGCAAAAACTGGTCAAGGCTTTCCTTGAGGAGTTATGGTTTCAAATGGGGGTCTGGAGAACGAATTCTTCCTGGGGAATGTCAATGGATGACTTGGGGAGCCAATCAGAGCAACGGGAGGCCCTTGAGATCTGGCTCTGTCCTATCGAGGTGAGTTGGGGAAGGCTGAGTGTGTCACTGAGGAGACAAATCTTACACCTAGCAGAACCTATGTGATTCTTTTTATAACAATAAAATATGAAACAAAGTCAGAGAACTCAGGAAATAAACCAAAGAGGCTGTGCTGACTTAGTGGAAATCTGACAGGAATTTAACACAGGTGATCATAACGTCTCAGCCAAGAAATAGTCTTTTCTCCTGTTTTCTTTCTTGAGTGGACTTCTTTGTGGAGAGGAAAATACAAAGGTGAGAGGCCAGGGAAGCTTCCTTTCCTGAGACAGAGACATAATAAACTTAGGCCAGGGGTTAGCAGCCAGCAAACTGGCTTCCTGGTGCCCCAGGTACTACTGCTACATAAAGAACCGTCCCAAGCCTCAATGGCATAACCTGATTTATTATACACATGGACTCTGTAGGTCCGGAATCTAGACAGGGCACTGCAGAGACTGCTGTGTCTGCTCCATGATGTTGAGGACACAGCGAGGAAGATTCAAATGCCTGAAGGTGACTTGATGCCTAGGGCTGGAATCATTAGGAAGCATCTTCACTCCTGTGACAGAAGCCTGGGCTGGGAGGGCCTGAAGGCTTGGCTCAGCTGGGCCTCTCATCAGGGGCACCTGCACACGGCCTGTCCGTGTAGCCTGGGCTTCCTCATGCATGGTGGCTTCCAGATGGTGGATTTCTTACCTGGTGGCTGAGGTCCAAAAGCAAGTGTCCTACGGACAAGGCAGAAGCTGCACTGCCTTTTACAACCTAGCCTTGCATGTGACATGCTCTCACTTCTGCCACTGTCTACTGGCTAAATCATTAGCCTGCCCAGATCCCAGGGGAAGGGGACCTTTCAATGGAAGGATGGTCAAAAAGTTTACAGCCATCTTTTAAAACCACCACACTTAGGATTGTCTCTTAACCCTGTCCTCACTACCATTCAACATGAAGCTGTCACCAACTCCACTTGCCCAACCACATGTCTTCAGAGATGGGGCAAGCAGTTCCTCAGGAAGACACGGGGCACATTTGGGCCAACCCCAAGGAAGTCCCCCAAAGTGGGGAGAGAGCCTAAGAAGGTGCCTATGACTGACTTGGCTGCATCTCATTAATATCTTGAGGTCATTTTCTCAACAACAGGGTACCAGGCCTTAAGACAGCAACTCCAAGGAGCTTCCGAGTGCACAGCCTGCAGTCCACTTTAGAGAAGGCGTGGGTGTAAGACGCTCTAGTACCACACACGAGTTACCGCATCCAGGGCTGTATCTATACCGTGAATCCCCCAACGCTGCCCAGAAATTTCTGGGGTTTCTCCCCTGCTCACAATTTCACACACCACAGCCCCTGAAAACAACAGCTTCCTAAGGACAACCGCCCCCTCAGACAGGCAGCGCCAAGGACAAGGGCTGGTCTCTCTCATTTGGTTAAGTACCAGGGGATGAAGTATCACTCTGCACCCCTGCCCCCAACCCTCACTCTACTTTCCTGTCACCAGTCCTGGGACCTAGCCATACTCTGAAGATACGTAGAGGAACTAGAGAAACAACAAGCAAAAACAAATGAACTAAATCAATAACCAAAAAAGTGACATAAAGCAGCAGCCAAGAAATGCAGAGACAAGGGGGTAGCAGGAGAATGAGACAATCTGTCACGGTCAGGGACCAAGAGAGGCAGCCAGTGGGCGGGGTGATTGACAGGTAGGAGGAAAAGACAGAGCAGTGAGTAGGAAGACAGGCGACCCATCACCCTCACCCCCAAAACACCATGTGACCAAACAGGCGGGCTCCTCCTCACATGAGACCTTTTATTACAATAGCACTGTGAGGGCTCGGCCCACTTCCCTGCCACAGTCCCCGGGAGTGAGACTGGTCTTCCCTGGAGGATAAGACATGAGCTTGGTTGGGCGGGTGAATGGCTCCTCTCTTGGTCCAGGAAGAGCACCTCTCCTTTTGGTGAGGCCCTCTCCGAAGCTGGGGTGATGCAGGCAGGGCCTTCCTCTCTGGGGACGCCCAGGCTCACACAGTCCACTTCAGGCACCTGCAGGCAGAGGCAGCCCAGGAGGAGGAGAGTGGTCTGGGAAGCTGTAGGGGATAGGAGGGAGAGGGTGTGGACCCGGGGGAGGTTCCAAGCTCACCTGGTCTCCTGGTGGGTGCCCAGACAGCGCACAGTGCAGTATCGGGCACCACAGCTAACACAGGTGTAAGGGGAAGGGAAGCCGCAGACAGCACAGAAGGGGCGCTGGGGCCGGGACGGGGGTCCCGCACAGGCTGTCAGGTAGTTGGGGCCCTCAGCCACACTCAGGTTCTGCAGAGACAAGAGGGCAGGCTCCACAACTCCTCCGCCCACTCACCTGGCAAACACCTGCCAGGGACAAGGACCTCTGCAGGCTCACCCCTTCCCTGTGGGGTCCTCCCCGGCCAGCTCCTCTCTCACCTGCTCCTCCAGCAAGGCCTGAAAGTTTTTTCGGAAACGAAGTTTAAAATGATCACCTCGAGTTTTCTTCTTTTTCTTTCCTAGAGGTCAAGAGCAATTAGTCACTTGCCATGTGCCAAGAAAGACACCATCCTTCTCTGTCCCATCATTCCCGATCCCCACGTGTCCATTCCCTGCCCACATACTCACCTGGGTTCTGAGTTGGCCTCTACCATCCTTTCCCCTTTCCCCCCACTTCTCCAATCCCAGCTTTCCTGTATCTCCAAACTCCCTAAATCTAAGGCTTGATGTCAGAGCTGGAAGGGATCCTGGAGCTCATCTGCTCCATCTTCTTTATTCTACATACATGAGAAGAAACCACGGCACACACAGGGGTGAGCGGCTGGCTCGCAGTCACAGGAGCCAGTCCCTGGCAGAGCCCGAGGAGCTGCTGGGTCATCTGCACCCAACTCGATGTCCTTCCACAGCCCCGACCTGGGCAGACTCTTCCCCTTCCTTCAGCCTGTCTCCCTGGCCCTCCCTACCTCCTCCACTGCCTTACCGGTGTCTGCATCATCATCAAACTGAGGCAGCCTCTTGCCGAGCTGGGGCAGTCCTGCGTGGGGGTCGTCCTGGAAGTTGTCATTCTCCAAGGCCTCGAGCTGCCTGTTGATGCGGCGCTGCCGGGCGGCACGGTCCAGCACCCGCCGCTGTCCAGGGTCCTGGGAGCGAACTAGATGGGTGGGGCCCGCAGAGTCAAGGAGGGCACAGAAGAGAGAAACTGGGGCGGCCTTGTCTCTGGGCAGTGTGTGGAAGATGTCCAGGGGTGTGGGGGGCCACAGTTCTCTGATCTCATCCTCCTCACCGAGCCCTTGGCCCTATATCTTCTCACAATACCTCAGCCCTGCTGGTTTGCGTCCTTCCCAGCTGAGACTGCCATTTCAGTCACTCACGCCTGTTCTCAAGTCCTGTGGCACCAGTCTTGCCTCCCAATCCCAGACCCAGCCAGTGAAACGCATCCTGGAGACCTCCTACTGCTGGCAGAAACCACACAACCGTGCTGACCACCGTACACTAAGGGCTTCCAGGCGCCACTGGGACCTTAATATACCTGGCCTTCGGGCTCAGCCGTCTCACTTCCCACCTCAAAGGAAATGGGCCACCCACAGGTAGAGACGCTCAATCTTCAGCCCACTCTCCAACATAACTGCAGGGATACCCACCTGCCCACCAAGTCCCACTGCTAAAGCCAACCCTCCAGCTCCAGCTCAAGTCCTCCCCTCCCTCTTGCATCTTCAACCCCTTCTCCTCAACTGGCACTTTCCTCCAATGGATAAACCTGCTAAACTCGCACGTGTCTACCCAACTTCACACCTGTTCTTCTTTGAGAGGGTGGTCCAAGAGGTATTTCATTTCCTCACCCCCTGTCCACTCCTCAATCCCAGTGAACCAACTCCCATTCAGTGGGAACCACTTACGCTCAGGACACCAGTGACTCCTAAGGCCAAACCCAGTGTGCATTTCTAGAATCCTCCTTTGACTTGAGCCTGTGTTGACTATCTCCCTCAGGTTGAAAGAGGCCCTTCATTTACTTCCTTGCCATGACTCCAGGTTTTCCTTCTCCATCTCTAGCTACGCTTCTCAGCCTCCCATCTTGGCTACTCTCTCTGCCTCTAAGGAGATGGCTGTCACTGTCTTTCTCAGTCTTTACACTCTTCCTGGAATTTCTAATCCAAACACAGGGCTCTAACTATCATCCACAAGCAAATGACTGCAAAACTGATGCTCTCAATTCAGAGCCTTCTCCTGAGTTCCAGAACTGGCTATTCAATAGGCTGCAGGAAATCACCTACCGACCCCAGCAACTCAAAATTAAAACTCTTCCCATTCAAGTCTGCTTCTCCACCTGTAGACTCTCTTTAAGCGAATGGAACCATCTATGCAGACATCCAAACCAGAAACCTACGAGTTATTGTAAACCTCTCTCTTCATTATCAAATTAGCTGTTCACTGGGCTCTGATAATTCTACACAAAATATCTCTTCATTCATTAAACAAATATTTATTGAGTGCCTATAACCATAATAATAGACTCAGCGCCAGTAGCTAACACTGGGTGTATACTCTGAGCCAGGCCCTATACTAAGCCCTTTGCATAAGTGGAATCTTTTAACCTTCGCAACAACCCTACGAGATAGATATCATTATCATTCCCACTTTACTGATGTTCAGAGGGTAAGAAGTGTGTCCAAAGTTCACATAGCTGCTAAGTGGCTGGGTCAGAATTCAAACCCAGAACTGCCCAGCATCAAAACGCATGCTTGTGATCACTGTCCTATACTGCCTCCCTTCCAAGTGGCCGAGGGCAGTGCCCTTGGTTCTGGGAACACAATCAGAGCCAACAGTCTACTGGGGAATACATATGAATATGAACAAAGCAGCAAGCACAGGGAAGTACAAAGTGCTACAGAGCACACGACAGAAACACCTAACCTGGGCAGTCAGGAAGATTTTCCAGAGGAAAGTAGGTCTAGGTTAAGGCCTGACTGAGGAAGACAAGTTAGCCCAGTGCGGGAGAGGGGAGGGTGTCTCAAGCCTTGGTACCAGCATGAGAGAAGGCCTGGAGGGAGACCGTGGTGCCTTCAATAAATTAAAAGAAGCTCTGTATGACTGGAATATATGTATGTGTGAGTGTGTGTGTCAGGGGGAGGGGCAGATATGAAGTCAGGCAGACCATTACCTTTAAGTTTTACCTTTAAGTATCTAAAGGAATTTGGATTGGGGTATTTCATGGGAAAGGTGACAGAGAGCCAGTGAGGGGTTTAAGGAGCAGCATGACTGGACTGATTACAAGTTAATCAGGCAAGGTGTTCTGACTCTCATCTCTTTGTATCTGGACTACTCAACAGCTTCCTCACTGGCCTTCCAACCTCTAGACCTGTGCTACACAATAAAGCAGCCACTGGTCACATGTGGTTATTTAAATTTAAATTTAGATGTAGATTCAGATTTTTAAAAATTTAAAATTCTGTTCCTCGGTTATACTAGCCACATTTCAAGTCCTCAGTAGCCACATATGGCTAATGAGTGCCATATTCAACAATGCTAATTAAGAACATTCCTATTATCCTAGAAAGTTCTACTGGACAGCGCTGCTCTAGTCGCTCCAATCCATCCTCCGCACTGAAGCCAGAACTGCCTTTCTAAAACATAAATTTGTTTCCGCCACTCCTCTGCCTTAAAAGTCCTTGATGGCTCTCCACTGCCCTCTCCACAGAGTTCAAACTCTTCGGCATTGTATATAATGCCTTTCAAGTGTACCATTCCCCAGCCCTCCAGCCTCTCTTACTATTGCTCCGCGAGCCCCGAACGGTGAACTTGGCTTCCTAAGCGACTTGCTTTTCCCTGCTTTCCTGCCTTTGCACGTGCGTTTCCCGCTGCCGGGAATGAGTCCCCGCGTACCTGCACAAAGTGAAACCATAACTCGACTTTCAAGATTCAATCCAAGCGTTTTCTTGCCCTCCAAGCCTTCCTGGTCCCCTCCTTCCCAGAAGCTGGGTTCCCAGAAGCCAGAAGCTTCCCAGACGCCCCCCCTCCCTGCGCCCTGGCGCTTTGCATCCCTCTGACATACCACGTATCACTCTGAAATGCAGTGGTAGGTCTGCGTGTTTGTCCTCCTCCCAGAAAGCCAGTTCTTAGATGATAAAGATCTTTTTCCTTTCTCTATCCCCAGCGCCTGGCTTGGAGCAGGCATCAATAAAATGTGAATGCATGGTTTGGGGGGCTGCCCCGACGCCAGGACCCGAGGGCCGGCAAAAGGATTTAAGACTAATAACTGGGTGAAGAAATCCTAGGCCAAGTTCGGATTTGGGAGGAGGAAGGGGGCCAACTGCCAGGGGCTCACTTACCAGAGGTTTTCTTCTCCACCATTACCTACAACACAGCTGACGGAAAAGCTTACTGCGCATGCGTGCAAAACTACCCGCTCTGGTAGGGGCACCATCACTTCCGGCGGCGTGTACTTTTGCGCGTGCGCAAAATAATCCCAATGCTTTGACGCATTACGTGATGTTCCCTTGGAGACGAGAAAGCTTTCCGCCATATTTAATAGGGGCAAAACTACTTCCGGCCTCAGAGTGGTTGTGTATTTTGTAGGACCCCCGAAATGGATCATTTTAAAGAGGTGGTGCCAGTGGTCTTTCGTGAAACGTTATTTTCCTTTGGTCCTTCTGAAGATGCCATCTTCACAAATGCAGCCCCTGGAGCTTCTCCCCGGGGCAGCATTGTTGATTGGCCGGACTACCAAGGAAAGTGGGGAGGCTTGAGTGGACAATTCCAGGGGTCCCCGGCGACCCTCTGCCGAAACCTCAAACCCAAGCTACTCTGGGGCCGCAGACCCCTCGGCCCTTGCCCTCCCTGCCGCCCGCTCCTCCACTCGTCCCGGCACCGGCGCCGCCGCCGCCGCCTCGCTCTCCCAGTCTTCCGCCTGGCCGCTCCCGGCAGGGCTGCGGCAAAGACCCGCCTCCGCGTCCGGCCGGACCCACCGGGGCCCACTTCCCCTCCCCGGGTTTCAGTTTCCTCGTGTGTCAGGCGGGCAGTGGGCCCAGCTGGCTCTGACCAAAGTCCTCGGCACCGGATCGCAGGCCCGAGCCCCCGCCCCGCCCCTCCCCCGCCTCCGGCCGGGCGCCCCCTCCGCCCGCTCCGCGCCGCCCGCGCGCCCGCGTCCCGGGACAATCCTCGCCTTGTCTGGGACGCCGGCATCTCGAGTTTTCTCTAGCCTCTGGCTACGCCTTCTTCCCAGGGCGGAGCCCCAGCCCTGCTCCTCCTCGCAGCCGGCCTCACTGCAGTCCCGGCTCCAGCTTCCAGAGCCCCTCTGGGATCCAGGCGCGCAGCCAGAGCAGTGCGGGCCTGGGTGCCGTCTCGACCCGCTCCGCGCCATGGCCTCCTTGGGCGCGGGACTCCGGCTCCTGCTGCTGCTACTGCTGCTGCTGCTGCCGCCGCCTCCTGCGGCCTCGGCCTCCGACCGTCCCCGGGGCAGCGACCCCGTCAACCCAGGTGAGAACCCCAGAAGGGCCCTGGAGGGCCGAGTGGGCGCCGGGCTGACGTGTCTGCCGGTCGGGGCCGGGGCCTCGTGGGGGCGGCCGGCATCTCCCACGCCCAGCGCGCTCCTAGGGGCCGAATCATGCAGCCCCTCGCCCAGTCCCCACCCTGAACTGAGGTTTCCAGCCTCCCCATGCGAACTGACCCCGAATTCCTGGGTGTCACTCCCATCCCGTTCTCAATGGTGTCGAAGTTTCCCTGGGTGGGTGGAAATGGGAAAAAAGAGGAAAGGGACAGGAGCAGAGTCAGAGGGAGGTGAAGGGGGCTGCGGTGGGCAGAGCGCGTGGGGCAGTGAGGTGGGCGAGTGAGTCCCGCGTGCCAATTCCTGGCTGGTGACAGAGAAGCTGCTGGTCATCACCGTCGCCACAGCCGAGACGGAGGGATACTGGCGTTTCCTACGGTCAGCCGAGTTCTTCAACTACACTGTGCGGGTGAGGAGAGGAACACCCTCGTGGCCCCTGGGAGGATGGGGGGGTTCCAGTGGGAGGAGTGGGCTGAGGGCTGGATGCCTGGGGCCCCACGGAGGTTCTGGTCAGGAGGTCCTGGGCGGCCTATCCTCTCCATGGCATGGCGGGTCTCCCCCATAGACCCTGGGCCTGGGAGAGGAGTGGCGAGGGGGTGATGTGGCCCGAACAGTTGGTGGAGGACAGAAGGTGAGGTGGCTAAAGAAGGAAATGGAGAGATATGCAGACCAGGAGGATATGGTCATCATGTTTGTGGACAGGTAAAGGGGCTAGTGTTGGGGAGAAAGGGAAGAGGTGAACAGGAGGAGGGGGTGAGGATACTGAGGTACCTAGTGGCTGTCCTGTTCATCCTGTCCTTCTTCACCTAGCTACGATGTGATTCTGGCTGGCAGCCCCTCGGAGCTGCTGAAGAAGTTCGTCCAGAGTGGCAGCCGCCTGCTCTTCTCTGCGGAGGGCTTCTGCTGGCCCGAGTGGGGGCTGGCAGAGCAGTACCCTGAGGTGGGCACGGGGAAGCGCTTCCTCAACTCTGGTGGTGAGTGGCAGACTGCCCGAGGCAGAGGGGCCAAGAGTGGTGGGGTACAGAGTGTTCCAGGTGCCTGAGGGCCGGAGAGGGAGTGGGGACCAGTCGGCGGGATCCTGACAGTCTTGGAGTGAGCACCTCCCCTCCCCCCACAGGATTCATTGGCTTTGCACCCACCATCCACCAAATCGTCCGCCAGTGGAAGTACAAGGATGATGATGATGATCAGCTGTTCTACACTCGACTCTACCTGGACCCAGGACTGAGGGTAGGGAGGGGCAGAGGAGAGGCGGCAGGCCTCAGGCTGGATGGGAGGGAAGGGATAAAGGGCTTTGGGGAAGACGTAAAGAGAAAAGACTGGGAGGTGATGTCCCTCCCCCTCTTTAATTAACTGCCCATCTCACCCCATCCAGGAGAAACTCAGCCTTAATCTGGATCATAAATCCCGGATCTTCCAGAACCTCAATGGGGCTTTAGGTGAGGAGAAGGCAATCAGAGGGGCCGGGGAGAGAGGCCTCTGCTGCTGGGGGTCCTGAATTTGGGAGGGGCTCCTGGTGGGACTGAGGTGGGCTTTGACTCACCCTTGTGTTAACTTCTTCAGACATCTGAATGGCTGATGATAGAGTAAGTTGCACTGTGCTCATAGTAATAAACGCAGCAGTCGTCAAACCTAACATCTATTGAACACATACAGTCATGTGCCGCGTAACGACGTTTCAATCAATGGCGGACCGCATATACGACGGCAGTCCCATAAGATCAGTCCATGTAGGCCAGGTGTGTGGTAGGCTGTACCACCTACGTCTGTGTAAGTGCACGCTGTGATGTTCGCAAAACGACGAAATCGCCTAACAATGCACTTCTCAAAACGTATGCTGGTCGTTAAGTGACGCGTGACTGTACCGTGTGCCAGGGCGCTAGACCAGGGCTTTGCTTCTGTGATTTCATTTAACACCACAATCCTACAAAAGGAGGGTCTGTGGTTTTCCACCTGTTACAGATGAGGAACGGCCTCTCTGAGGGGCCAGTGACTTGTCCGGGTCACCCAGGTAGTATGCTGGAGCTCCCCTGGGGTGGGGCAGCAGCCTGGTCTGTGCCCTCAGAGAGAGAAGGTACCCATCCCTGCCCCCATGGAGCCGCAGTCCCTCATCCTCAGAGAAACTGAGTTCCCCCCTATATAGAAGCATCTATTGCTTGGCGGCTTGAAGAGAAAGGGAGTCTAAAACCTGGTCTTTCTTCCCCAGATGAGGTGGTTTTAAAGTTTGATCGGAATCGTGTGCGTATCCGGAATGTGGCCTACGACACGCTTCCTGTTGTGGTCCATGGCAACGGTCCCACTAAGGTGCCCCAATGGCCCATACCCTTGGCCCCAGCCCCTGCCCCCGTCAGTCCTGGCCTCACAGCCCCTGCCCCAGGCCTGGGCCCAGCCCCTAGGTACCTCTAGCTCTTCTGAGCAGTCAGTCCTCCCAGCTGCAGCAGCAGAGGTGCTGGGAGAGGTGCTAAGTGTCCCCTACTCCCCCTCCTGCCCTGTCCCCTGCCTGTCTCCCTGACCTCCCTCACCTCTGGCCCTCCCCACCTCCTCAGCCTCAGCCTCTCATCGTCTCTCCCCACAGCTCCAGCTGAATTACCTGGGAAACTATGTTCCCAAAGGCTGGACTCCCGAGGGAGGCTGTGGGTTCTGTGACCTGGACCGGAAGACACTCCCGGGGGGGCAAGTAAGGAGGGGTGCCAGGGTGGGGCAGGAGAGTGCCCTGAAGCAGCAGGTGCTGGGACAGCATGCTGGGGAGCAGTGGTGGGGACAAAGCTCCTGGGGACCCCCAAACCTGGCAGGGTTGTGGAGGGCAGACTGGGTGGGGCCCCAGGCTCTTTTCTGAGCCCTGTCATGTCCTATGTTCCAGCCTCCCCCCCGGGTGCTTCTGGCCGTATTTGTGGAACAGCCTACCCCGTTCCTGCCCCGCTTCCTGCAGCGGCTGCTGCTCCTGGACTATCCCCCCGACAGGGTCACCCTTTTCCTGCATAACAATGTGAGACACCCTGGCAGTCTCTCCCTTGTGGGCCCTCCCGAGAGCCTCTGCCTCTGCCCTGGTCAGAACTCCCACCCCCACCCCAGACTCCGCCCTACACTCTGCTCACCACCTGCCCCGCTCCTGTCCCCCGGGGGGCCAGCCATCTCTTCTGCCCTCTCAGTCCCCTCCTACCTACCCCCCATCTCCAGGAGGTGTACCACGAGCCCCACATTGCGGACTCCTGGCCCCAGCTCCAGGACCACTTCTCAGCTGTGAAGCTGGTGGGGCCAGAGGAGGCCCTGAGCCCAGGCAAGGCGAGAGACATGGCCATGTGAGTGAGGACGGGGAGGACGGGTGGGGCTGAAGGGGGGAGAGGCTGCCGCCCTCCCATCTCCACTCACCATCCATTCTCTCCTCGGCCTCCACACTGGTGGCCTCCCAGCCACCAGGCGTACTACCCTCCACTGTCGCACTCACACTGGCTCCTCCACCCTGCAGTCCTTCACGTCCCCCTCCTCTCCTGTTGCTGGTGCATCTGTGCATCTGCCCACTTTTCTCCTCGGCTGGTGGGGGCGTTCCCCCCACCTGCTCCCATTTCAGCTTATCTGTCTGTTGGTCTGTCACCTCCAGGGACAGTTGTCGGCAGGACCCTGAGTGTGAATTCTACTTCAGCCTGGATGCCGACACCGTCATCACCAACCCGCAGACCCTGCGCATCCTCATTGAAGAGAACAGGTCGCTTGTCCAGCTTGGCCAGAGGGCCCCCAAAGAGTCCCCAGAGAGCCCCCAACTCCTTCCTCGGGCAGGGGCTCACCTCTGCCAGCCCTCACCTCCACCTGTCCACAGGAAGGTAATAGCGCCCATGCTCTCCCGCCATGGGAAGCTGTGGTCCAACTTCTGGGGAGCGCTGAGCCCTGACGAGTACTACGCGCGCTCCGAGGACTACGTGGAGCTGGTGCAGCGGAAGCGAGTGTGAGTCCTGCCCGGCTTCTTCTGACGTGGGCCCCCACACACGCCTGCACCGCATCCCGAGGCCCCAGTCTCGGGTCTGCTGTGGCCGCCAGTCAGACTTGCCCCGGCTGCAGGGTAGGGACTGACCGTGGAGTGGAACACGGGAGGGCTGTGGCCAGCAGTGCTGAACGAGGGAAGGGAAGAGAGTGGGGTGCCCTGAGGATGAACTGGGCCACACTGACCCTAGTGCGGGTGCCTCCAGGGGCGTGTGGAATGTGCCCTACATATCCCAGGCATATGTGATCCGCGGGGAGACCCTGAGGACAGAGCTGCCCGAGAGGGAGGTGTTCTCGGTCAGCGACACCGACCCTGACATGGCCTTCTGTAAGAGCCTGCGGGACAGGGTGAGCAGCGCCGTCAGACCCAGGGTGCAGGCCTGGGGGCCCCATGCTGGGTGCTGGGCAGCTGCCACCTCTCGTCTCCTCCTCACACGCTCCCCCCACTCCAGGGCATCTTCCTCCACCTCAGCAATCAGCACGAGTTCGGCCGCCTCCTGGCCACTTCCCGCTATGACACAGACCACCTGCACCCCGATCTCTGGCAGATCTTTGACAACCCCCTGGTGAGTGGGGGGGGCCCTTGCTCAGAGAATGCGTATGCCTCACCCTTCACCAAAGGAGGACGTGCGCGCGTGCGCACCCACACACACACTCACCCCTGTGCAGGATCTGCTCCTGCCTGAGGAGGGGCGGTCCAGGGGCTGGGGTTTCCTGGGTGGGACCAGATGGAGTGAGGAGGGCGCCCATCACTGTGCGCTCCCCTGACCCTCCCCAGGACTGGAAGGAGCAGTACATTCATGAGAACTACAGCCGGGCCCTCGAAGGGAAGGGATTCGTGGAACAGGTGAGGCCTGCTCAGGATCTCCGCCCGCCCTGATGGCCGTTGCCCTTGAGTCTGCTGTCCAGATCAGTGGCTTTCAAACTGACTTCTCCCAGGTGCCTTAGGGTCTTCTGCTCAGGTGAGATGAGGTAGAGGCTGAGCAGATGGGTCTTCAGCCCCACCCTAGCATTAATCAGTGATCTCTCTCGTCTGTTGGGTATATTGGTGTTATGGGTGAAATGACATTTTTGTAAAGACGTTTGAACACCACTGTCCCAGAGCCTGGGGCTCCAGGCCCTCCTGCCATTGGTGCCGTGTTCTCAGTGCCACTCCCACCTTCTGTGGCTCTGCCTCCCCTGGCCCAGCCCACGCTCAGACCCCCATGCCCCCAGCTTCTCATCTCCTGGCTTCTCTTTCGGCTCCCTGCTTCCTCTCCCCGCCCCTCTTCTGCAAGCGTCACCCAGCCCTGTTGTCCTTCCCCCGCTCTGTCCTCAGCCATGCCCGGACGTGTACTGGTTTCCTCTGCTGTCAGACCAAATGTGTGATGAGCTGGTGGAGGAGATGGAGCATTACGGCCAGTGGTCAGGAGGCCGGCACGAGGTGAGAGGCTGGGCCACGGGAGGAGGGAGGACCCCAGGAGGAGGGCAGTGCTGGGTCTAATGGAGGGAAATGGAGTTAGGAGAGTGGGAGCAGATACGGGTCCCAGGGGGAGGGGCCCATGGAGAGCACAACTGCATCCATCCATCCATCCATCCATCCATCCATTCATTCAAGAAATATCGGGCAGATCCCAGATGCCAGCCCCTGTCCTAGGTGGTGCAGGTGCACTGATGGGGTGTGCAGCCCAGCTCGCCCTCTGGAGCTCACCTGCTGCTGGGAGGAGCAGCAGCCCAGCTTCTAGGGCCTGCGATGGGCAGCCCAGGGGCTGTGGGAGCCACAGGAGGGGCCCTTGGCCCAGCTGTGGGGGGACCCAGGGTCTTCACGGAAGAGTTGAGACTTCAAAAGCTAGTAGGAGTGGTTCAAGCTGAGACTTCCAGACCGAGGGACACAGCTGTAAGGCCTGGAGCCAGAGGAGGGGGAGCTGGCACTGCCCTGTCAGGGCTCAGTGCCCACTGCCCATAGGACTCAAGGCTGGCCGGAGGCTACGAGAACGTGCCCACCGTGGACATCCACATGAAGCAGGTGGGCTATGAGGACCAGTGGCTGCAGCTGCTGAGGACGTACGTGGGGCCCATGACCGAGAGCCTATTCCCAGGCTATCACACCAAGGTGGGCTGCTGCCTCTGCCACCCTGCCTCCTCCGCCTTCCCACATCCCAGGCATGGCTGGAAGTCTCCACGCAGCGCCTTTCAGCCCCTGTAGCATTTGGGGCCCCAGGGAAAGAGATCCTGCAGGCGGGCACCCCTGGGGGGAGACTGCTTGGTCCCTGGGGCCCCTCCCCCTCCCCGAACAGCGGCTGTCGCCTCCTTAGAAGGCCATCCCTCCAGCCTCTTCTCTCGTGTCCCCACAGACCCGAGCAGTGATGAACTTTGTGGTCCGCTACCGGCCTGATGAGCAGCCCTCTCTGCGGCCACATCACGACTCATCCACCTTCACCCTCAATGTTGCCCTCAACCACAAGGGCCTGGATTATGAGGTGAGCCCTACCACCCTCCACTCCAGGGCCTACACACACACACACACGCACACTCACACACTCACACGCTCTTACACTCACACTTCCCCCATGACTGTGTCCCGCCCCCTCCACCCCCCGCTCACACCCCTCAGTTGCCCTCCCTGCCCCTTGTCTACTCTCTTCACCTTCCCTGTTACTTGGTGGGTATCGTCTCCTGGACCCTTCCGGCTGGCTGCCTTCCCATTCCTCCAGCATCTCCCCCCTCTGCCGATACCCTAAGCCCCCCAACTCCATATCCCCCTCTCCCTAACCCTCTGGTCTGCCTGCCCCCCAGTCCCCAGGTCTGCTCACTCTCCACTGTTCCCTTCTCCTCTCCCCAGGGAGGTGGCTGCCGCTTCCTGCGCTATGACTGCGTGGTCTTGTCGCCGCGGAAGGGCTGGGGGCTCCTGCACCCTGGCCGTCTCACCCACTACCACGAGGGGCTGCCCACTACTCGGGGCACTCGCTACATCATGGTGTCCTTTGTTGACCCCTGACACTCAACCACTGTGCCAAACCCTCTCTGCCATTGTGCCTTCTTGCGCCCCCTCCTTGGAGGGGGTCTATCCGGGTCCTCGCTTCCTGAGTGTATGTTCAGTGTGCTTGGGACTGAATGTGTCTCCTCACCCCCCACCACACGGCCCTCTCAGGAAGCTCCTGGAGCCCCCTTGCCCCTCCCCTCAGCCCCCAAGGGTTCATGGGGAGAGGGCTTCTGGGGGTTCCCAAAGTGATAAATTATTATTTCTCAGCCTCCCTCCCAATAAAGGAGGATTTGTAACTCTTGAGTCCATTTATCGCCTTTCATCTGCCTACTGACCCCATATCCCTCCTGCCACCCAGAGTAGAGGGGAAACCTGGGGTTCCTCCAAAGAAAAAGAACAGGGAAGAGGGAAAGGCAGAAGCAGAATGTTAGAGCAGTGTGGGGACCTGGAAGCTTCCCTGGGTCCCATTTCTCACTCCCCTTTATCGCCTGAGCTAGGGGAAGTGCCTGAGAAGGGCCAGATCAAAAGGACTTCCCTGATAAGTCTCCGATGAAAGTCGGCCCCTGCCCATCACCACTCCTCCCCGATTCTCTCTTCACTTGATGACGTGAAGGGGAGCAGGGCATAGCCCTGAGGGGGCTCCAGGGACAGTGCTGGGGCAGGAGTGCCCCCTGGAGGCATGTGCTCTAAGGAGGGAAGACAGGCTGCAGCCTTACTGTGGCTTCTTGGACTGAAGTATTCAGTTAGGCGGGATCAGGAAAGGGGAAGCCCTGGAGGCTCATCCCAAGAAAGCTTCCTGGAAGAGGGGACTGTGAAGCAGCCTTGGAAAAGAGGAGACCTCCTGAGAACTGGTCTTGCCTCCAGCCTTGAGGGGACCATCAAGCCCTTGCCCAGACCCCTCGAGACACCTTGAGGACAGCAGGCCATGCTCCTTTAGCTTGGTCTTTTCCAGCCTTGCACCAGCCTTCCTTCCTAAATTTATCTCCCAACTGTTCCCTTGCAGAAGACTTTTAGAAACCAAACAAGCCTATTCATCTTTCCTGGGACGTTTCCTGCCTCTGACACCTCACTTGCCACCCACAAACTAGAATCCGCTTCTTCCTTCCTCCTGCCCAGACTCCCAGGAAAACTTCCTCTATGAAGCCTTCCCCTCTGGTGGCTGGGGCTGGTTGGTCACCTTTCCATGTGGACTGAGCATCTCTCTGGCCTTCTCACCCTGGCCTCCACCACCCTCATCTGCATGGCCTGTGGATGGCAGGGGGCTGAGCAGGGACAGGAGAAGATGCCACTTGGCCAGGTCCCCAGACAGGGAAACGGCACGAGAGTGAGGCAGGGGATGGGGACAGTAGGTCCTGGGCATTGGAAGCTGGCTTCCCCTGTCCCCTGCAGACCCATCACTCATTTCCAGAGCATCTCCCGTAGCAAGGGCTGCAGTGATGAGCACAAGGCCGCTCTTCTTGTTGCTTACAGCTTGGGGGAGATCTCCATCCGAGAAGGACTGTGATGGAGGAAAAGTATTTTATGCTAGGAGAGCACGTGACAGAGGCTCCTGAGGAGTGTGTGTCAGACTTCCCTACATGAAGTGATGTCCCCTGACCTGGAAAAGGTGCCGGCCCACAGGCCTCTGGTCACTGCTGGGGAGGGCCATGGGGGTGGTGAGGACTGGCCTTGGCCCATTTGGAGGGTGTGCCCACAGCCCAGTGTGCTCTCTCTCTAAGGGATTCCCCAGTCCTTAGCCTTTCCCACAAAGGCCTCCCCTCCAGAACGTCTCCCCACAGAGGCCTATGCTGCTCCTCAGGGAATAAATCCTGCAGGTCGTCTCCTCCTCAGGGGCCAAACCTGGGTGACTCATGGGGAGCCCTGCCATTAATAGTACACACCACTCTGGCAACCCCCGCTTTCCCAGACCTCTGCTAGTCCGGCTCCTCGCAGAGGCCCAAGGTCCTGACCTCCATAGAGTCCAAACACCTTCCTCCCCCTCAGGCTCCTGGCCACATCCCTGGTCATTTCCGGTTGGTTTTACTGGTCATAGCCCTGTGAGCTCAGGTCGTGGTTAATCCTTCCTGGTTGGGGCTCCCGAAGGCCCAGTGTGCAGGTCAGCAAAGGGGTCAGAAACGAGGGCGGGGCCAGGGCCAGGGTCAGGGCCAGAGGGCTGGACCCAAAAAGGGTGTTCTTAAGTGCCATAGCAGCCCCTGTGCGGCTCCCCTCTACAGAACGCCGGCCTCCTCCAGCCTCCTCTGCCGGGGTCTCCAAGTGTTTGCTGTCCTGCAATGGGTCCTCTCTTTCTTGGGGCTCAGTGAGTCCCTGAAGCCCTCCAGCCCCCTGCCCCTGGCATTCTGCTTCCCCATTACCACGAGAGAAGGAGGCAGGGCTGGGATCTCAGGGTGGGGTCCTTGAAGGAGTGAGAAGGAAGTAGGTGGGACAGAAGGGCCTGAAGCCACGGAAGGGGAGGCGGCAAAGGGGGGACTTGGCACTTAAACATCTGGGTCCTGAGCCCCCACCCCACCCCATCCCATCTTGCCCCTCCAGCCCAAGTGTGCCTGGCAGCGTTGCTCCTTGCACTCCTAGGCCCAGCCTGGATCCTAGTGGTCCTCTACTTGGTCTGGCTCTGCGGAGACAGGGACATGCCCTGGGCAAGAGGCCACCGCTCTGCATGGGTCCACGACTGGGTAATCTGGAGACATTTCCGTGACTACTTCACCATCTTGGTGCACGCACCCAGGAACGGTGTGCCGGTTGGAAGCAAGGCTTCAGAAGAGCCCCTTGGGACTACCATCGCCAAAAGTGCAATCTCACCGGCCGGGTTGGGGTACACCCTCTGTCCTGCAGCTGGTTAACCTGCAGAGTTGGATGCCTCCTGCTGTCTCTTCCGCTTCCACCCTGGTGGGGTCCTTGTCGTCCTTGTCGTCGGGGCCTTCCACAACTTCTGCACAGAGGCCACGGGCTTCTCCCGTCTCTTCCCCGGCCTCCTGCGGCAACTGCTCATGCTGCCCTGTTGGTTCCACCCCCCTCTCTTCCGGAACTACCTTATGTGTGGTGGTGAGAAGGGGTGAGCTGGCTCAGGACTCCCAGTCTCTGCTGTCACCTCCCACCTGCCCTCCTCCCGTCTGGGGCTGCCCGGTCCCAGCTCTACCTTCCCGGTGCCCCCCTCCCTCTTCTCTCCAAGACCCAGGCGTCAGGCCCCCCAGCCTCTGCCCTCCCTTCAGGTTTGGTACCCTCTGACAAGACCAGCGCCTCCTATCTGTTGTCCCGGCCTGGGGGGCGGCCAGGTGGCAGTCCTGGCCGTGGGAGGGCCCCTGGAGGCGCTGGAGGCAAAAGCCGGAGGGCTGAGCTTGCGGATCCGGAATCAAGGGATTTGTCAAGTTGGCCCTGGAGCAAGGGTGAGAAGCTGCCGGTGGCCGGGCGGGACACGCCCGGGCAGCCCTGGTGGGGAGGAGCCCGGCGCGCCCTGGGGCCCGGAGTCAGGCGCGGTCCTGCTTCCCCAGGGCCTCCCTCGTGCCTGTTTTCTCTTTCCGGGAGAACGAGCTCTTCCAGCAGTTCCCGAACCCGCCGGGCTCGTGGGTGCGGGGGGCACAGGAAGAGCTGCAGCCACTGCTGAGCGTGGCCCTGCCGCTGTTCCAAGGCCCCCTGGGCCTCCTCTTGCCCTTCGGCGCGCCCATCCACACAGTCGGTGAGCCCTGGCCTCTGCCCGGTCCGCTCCCCGGCCCGCCCGCGCGCTCCTCCGGAGCTCAGGCCCCCGCCCGGTCCCCGCGCCGGGTGGCGAAGGTCCCTGGTTGGGGCCTGAAATCCTGGCTACCGGCCGCGCATCGGCCACGCCAGCCTGGCCCCCCGGGCCGGTCTTGGGCCTCTGCCCCAGCCCTGAACTCTGTCCCGGAGGATCGCGGCGGGCAGGAGGGAAGAAAGGACCGGGCGAGGGATCCCAGCGACCGCCCCTCTCGCCTGGCGTTCCGCCCACAGTGGGGGCCCCAATCCCGGTGCCAAGAAGCCGCGCGCAAGTGGACATGCTGCACGCGCTCTACGTGGAGAGGCGCACGCGGCTGTTCGAAGAGCACAAGGCGCGCTACGGCATTCCCGCCCACAGGCACCTGGTCCTCACCTAGGCGCCCCCGCCGCCCGGGCCCTCCCCGAGCCCCAGGGGGCGTGCGGGTGCAAGGGTGAAATTAAAGGTGAGAACACACCTGCGGTGTTTGTGTGTCGGTGCGCGGCGGGAGAGGGCCAGGTGGTGGCGCCGGAGGGTCTTGATGCTCCCGGAGACCTGCAGACAGATGGGAGCTCGCGTGCAGGGGCCTACGCGGCCGCACTGGAGATCAGACGGCCTCAGTTGGGCTTCTAGCCCCCGCCAGCGTCTGGGACCCAGTTGGTGGGCTCTCCAGCTTCTTCTGGGTCCCCTTCCCACATCATTTCCTCCGGCACCCAGTTGCCACACCTTCCTCGCACACCCGCTACCGTCCCTCCCAGCCCCGCCCAGCGGCCAGTCCAGACCCACTGAGCAGGGAGTTCAAAGATCAGTGAGGGGAAGCCTGGAAGCGTCGGGGGCTCCAGATCCAAGCATCTCCCTATCCACACGCATTCCCGGGAGGCCCCAAGAGCTTGGCCCCAAACCTTCATCGTTTGCCCTCGGGGTCCTGGAGCCCTGCTGGCCCAGGAGAGCTCTGGAGTGGGAGTCTCCGCCGCCCACCAGCCTCGCCGCCCTCGCCCACCATGAAAACCCTTCAGAAGCAGCAGCTGGAAGCAGTGAGTGCCTCCCAATACGTGATCACTTTCCTCTTTATGGGTGAGAGCGGGGGAGAGGCACAGGTGCATGGGGTCCCCAAGGGGAGAAGGGACAGGGGAGGGGAAGAGGGTGAAGGCTGGAGCCCCACTTGCCTGGATGTCTGAGGGCAAAGGGAGGGGGTGAGGGCCAGAGGTCGGAGGGGAGGTAGGGGGGTGATACCACCGGTGAGGCTGCAGGAGAGGAGCCGCCAGCTAGAATGACTGAGTTTCATCAGAGAGTTCATTCTTCTTTCTCCTCTTTCCCCCAGGCCCTTTCTTTTCCCTTCTCCTATTCCTCCTCTTCCCGTCGCTCTGGTCGCTCTCTGTTCTCTATTCAGTGTGGCTCTTCCTGGACTGGCACACACCCAACCAAGGTGAGCTATAGAAAGAGCCCCACTGGGACTAAGAGCTGGCAGTGGGTGCCTCCAGGGATTCCTGCACACATCTCTCTCTGCCCCAAGGTGGAAGGCGCTCTGAGTGGATAAGAAGCTGGACTGTTTGGAAACACCTGAGGGATTATTATCCTATCGGGGTGACAGGTCACCCTCCAGAGGCACTCTGTCTCCCCTACCTATTCACCTTGCCCTCTGCTGGAGCCTGAGCCCCTGCTGCCTAAGCTCAGGCAACGGGGCAGGAGGCAGAGTGGTGTTCAAGAGTGGGTCCAAGGAGAGTGACGTCAGCATCATGGCGGAGTGAGCTTCCCCCATTGAACTCTCCCCCTCTAAGACACAACAAAAAGGACATTCATATTCCAACAGAAGCTATTCACACAACACAGGGAACGTCTGAGGCACCCAGGTAGCCACACACCCCAGGACTGAGGTGCTGGAATCCCCAGAGCAAGTGGAAGGAGGTAAAAGGAGCTCCCTTCCTTCCCCAAGGACTGCGACCCTGAGACTGAGACCACGCGGCTCTCAGAGGAGGGGAAGGGGTGGCTCGCCACATGAAAAATGGTGCTCTCCAAGACCCCTCACAGACCAAGGGGATCCACCTACAGAGAGAGCAGAACTGTTGCAAGGGTACTTTCAACAAGCTAGCCCCTCAGGAGAGCAGGGAGCGACAGTGAGGTGAGAAACCTCTGAGATGGGGGAGGCGAAAGTAAATGCCCCTCCCCAACCCGGCCCACCCGACCAGTGCTTCAGCTCAGTCCCGTCCCCAGAGGCAGCGGCCCCCAGGTGCCCAGGCCCAACAAGCAGCGGGGCGAGCCTGCACCCCAACACCAGAGGCACAGCAGCACAGGCCCCACCGTGCCAGAGCCCCAGCTGCTCCGGCTGGACCAAGCCAGGGCCCCAGCTTGCCTGGCTTCACTGTGCCATGGCCACAGCTCCTTCGGCTTGACCGCCCTCCCTCCCCCTGGCTCCAGCTGCTTCAGCTTGGCCTGTGCTCAGGCTCCAGCTGATTTGGCACCAGCAACTGCGGCCCAGCGCACTCCAGTTCCAGCCTCTTTGGCCCAGCAGTGCTCCACCTCTTCCTTCTTCGGCCCAGCGCACTCCAGTTCCAGCTTCTTTGGCCCAGCACACTCCAGTTCCAGCTTCTTCGGCCCAGCAGTGCTCTAGCTCCTGCTTCTTTGACCCAGTGGCACTTCAGCTGCAGCTGCTCCAAGCCACCCACACCCGAGCCCCAGCTGCTTCGGCCTAGCTGCGCTCCAGTCTCAGCTGTTCCCATGCTCCAGCTCCAGCTGTTCCCATGCTTCCGCCCCAGCAGCCTCCACTCAGCCATGCCTCAGATCAGCCAGGGGCCCACGAGAGTGCCCACGGATTGAGGCAGCCCAGAATACACAGCTCTTGACCCCCACCAGCAGCAGCAAGAGGAAACTGCGACCATATATTTCCACTATGAGGAAAAGCAAGCCAACACCAACAGGCACCATGCAAAAATATATTAAATCTTCAGACCAAAAGGAAAATGACAAGCACCCAGAAGTCAACCCAGAAAGCACAGAAATGTATAACCTTAATGACAGAGAATTCAAAATAGCCATCATAAAAAAGCTTAATGAAATAGAAAAAAACACAGACAGACAATTCAATGAAATCAGGAGTTTCTTCACAAAAGAGGTTGAAACTATAAAAAAAAAAAAACCAGTCAGAAATCTTAGAGATGAAAAACACAATAGAGGAGATAAAGACAAATCTGGAAGCCTTAAGAATCAGAGCAGACAATATGGAGGAAGAAATTAGCAATATTGAGGACAGCAATGCATAAATGCTCCAGATGGAGGAAGAAAGAGAACTAAGACTAAAGAGAAATGAAGAAACTCTCCAAGAGATATCCAACTCAATTAGGAAACCCAACATAAGGATTATAAGTATTCCAGAGGGAGAAGAGAGGGAAAAAGGAGCAGAGAACTTGTTCAAAGAAATAATATCTGAGAACTTCCCAAACCTGGGGAAGGAGCTGGAAATACCAGTGAATGAAATAAATAGATCTCCTAAATATATCAACACGAAAAGACCCTCTCTAAGGCATATAGTAGTAAAGCTGGCAAAAAGTCAATGACAAAGAAAAAATATTAAGGGCAGCTAGAGAAAAAAAAAATAACATACAAAGGATTTCCTATCAGGCTCTCAGCCAATTCCTCGACAGAAACTTTACAGGCTAGGGGAGAGTGGAACAATATATTCAAAATTCTGAAGGACAAAAACTTTCTGCCAAGAATACTCTATCCAGCAAAAATATCCTTCAGATATGATGGAGAAATAACAACTATCCAAGATAAACAGAAGCTAAGGGAGTTCGTTGCCACAAGACCCCCACTACAAGAAGTGCTCAAGAAGGCCCTCATCCCTGAGGAAGAAAAGAGAAAGGTGGATTCAAAGTTTTGAACAAGGAGGAAAATAGGTCGACAAAACCAGAAAAATTGCAGCTCTGTATCAGAATAGATTAGCAAACACTGAATTATAAAACCAAAGATCAAGAGAAGGTGAGCACCAAGCATAAATATAACCTCGTCATGTTAAACACGAACTCACAACACAAGAAGGAATGAGATGTGACAACAATAACGTAGAAGGGGAAGAGGAAAGGGATTGAATCGACTTAGTCTAAGGGAATAAGAGGCCATCAAAAAATGGACTATCACATCCACGAGATTTTTTATACAAACCTCATGTTAACCACTAAGCAAATAATCAGAACAGAATCACACACGGTAAAGAAAGAAAAAACTAAGAGAACCCCCATACAGAACTACCAAACTGAATTGGTAGTCTGAAACACACGGGACAAGAAACAGAAGAAATACAAAAGAACCAGAAAAAGAGTGATAAAATAACAACAAGCCCCATATATCAATAATTACCCTAAATGTAAATGGACTGAACTCTCCAATCAAAAGACAAAGAGTGGTGGGATGGATTAAAAAACAAGACCCAACAATATACTCCAGGAAACACATCTCAGCTCTAAAGATAAACACAGGCTCAGAGTGAAAGGATGGAAGACAATACTCCAAGACAATGGCAAATAAAAGAAAGCAGGTGTTGCCATACTTATATCAGACAAAGTTGACATCAAGATGAAACAGGTAATGAGAGACAAAGAGGGGCAATATATAATGATAAGAGCGACACTTCACCAAGAAGACATCACTTTTAAATATATATGCACCCAATATGGGAGCACCAAGGTACATAAAGCAACTATTAACATACCTAAAAGGAGATATTAACAACAACACAATAATAGTGGGGTGTCTTAACACCCCTCTCTCATCAATGGACAGATCATCCAGACAGAAAATAAATAAGGAAATAACGGACCTAAATGAAAAGCTAGATGAGATGGACTTAATACACATACACAGAGCACTCCATCCAAACACAGCAGATTACATATTCTTCTCAAGTGTGCATGGGACATTCTCAAGAATAGACCATATGTTGGGAAACAAGGCATGCTTATACAAATTTAAGAAGATTGGAATCATAACAAGTGTCTTTTCAGACAGTAATGCCAGGAAGTTAGAAATCATCTACAAGGAAAAAACCGGGAAAGTGACAAAGCTGTGGAGACTCAACAACATGCTCCTAAACCACCAGTGGATCATTGATGAAATTAAAGCAGAAATCAAAGCATATCTGGAGACAAATGAAAATGAAA